GGGGGGGACGGGAGGTAGCAACAGCAACTGCAGCGGCGGTGACAGGGAGTCGCGACAGTGACGTGGTGCAATGAAGAGTGAAAAGAGCGCGAAAAAAAAAGTTGAGGGGAAAGAAAAACATTACACTGTGCATGTGTAAGTGAGAGGTTTCCCCTTCTCTTTCCGCACGAAACTCTTAGGCACAGGGCACTAGAAGGACCTGTAGGTATAAACTGTACCCTATGCCATATCTCTCTGCATTGGTAACATGGGCAGGGCTTGTACCAAAACCGTAATTTACAGTTTACGGATCATTAAGACAGTACACTATCGATCATTCTCCGTTCCAAACCTGCCAAGTGCAGCCTCACGGCCTCATGCAAGCCCTCATAGGGCCTGATGGGTAGGCAACATCGTGCTTTCTGAGCACGCGAGTAGTGCGGGGTGGCCTACCCCGAGTCTCGCAGGCGCCGAGCTTCCGTTACAATGACGAATGAATCTCAGAAAAACCGATCCCTTAAGTAGGCGCGGGTCTAGGGGTGTCCCATCCCTAAGCACGGTCCGCACAAAGCATAACGAACAAATGAAGAGAGGCACTTGGCGTTTTGGTAGAGACAGTCTTGGTGACTGTCAAAAACCTCTTTGCAAGTACAGGTGCCGTGCACTGCCGCCACTAGATCTCGAAACAAGGCACTTCGAACTCGAACAATTTGGACGCACCAAAATTTTGAAGTTCGAAATCGAAACGACATGTGCACATGGAGGCCACGCTAGGTAACTTTAAAGTTAGTAAATTTACTAAAGTGAAGATTTTTCATTGGATAAGAGGATGGTTTGCCAATCTCTTTGTTTTTCGAGAGAATCTAGGCCTCAATACTTATTGGCTGCCCCATTTTAATGGATAATAGCATCTCCTAGAATGTTAGGAAATGATTCGATTCGATTCGCATACGAAATAGTAAGATTCGATTCAATTCGGGGTAAAAATTTAAGATTCGATTCGAGGAAAAAATATCCAGATTCGATTCGATTCGACTCTCAAAAGGGGTGATTCGCACACCTCTAGCCGCCACCACGGCCAGCGCCCGCTCCTCCGCAGGCGACCACACTCGTCGCGGAGGGGCCCGTGGGGGGGCCTACCTCCCCGGCGCAGCGGGAACGGCGGCAGGACTGGACCCACTTCGACGCTCCCCCACCCTCGAGACGGTTGGGTGGCCTAACAGAGAGGCGCAAGGCGCAGCGCGGGCCACCGCCACGCCAGCCGCCGCCACGCCGGTCAGTCCCCATCCACATCCGCCGGTCACGAAGCAAATAGGGTTTTACAAATATAAACTGGACGTGGCTTGTGACCGAGACCATCAACAAATCTTTTTCTTCTTAAATCTTAAATTTTAAGAGTGCCATGACTCAGGCGTTATCTTCAAAGAGGGCATGAAAAATGTGTATGAATCGTATAGTTTTGACACAAAAGTACACACAATTTATGGCGTGAAAATAAATTGTTTGAATGAGTATGTACACCATTTCAAGAGTCACACATTTTTTTCTTTTGTGTCGCAACACGATACTCATACAATTTTACCTATTTGCCCTACACTCTTACAGTTTTGCCTGGCACTCCAGCTTCTACAAAGCCAGCCCACAACCCCCAAAGTGTTAGTGTAGTGCGTGCGCAGCATGCAGCGTGCAAAGACGGAGCAGTTAGCGGCAGGCACTCACCATGGAGACGAAATAGAACTTGTCGAAGTCGAGCTCCTGCTGCCGGATGGCAGGCAAGGTGCTGGCCATCGTCGAGTGCCTCTGCAGCGAGTCTTCCCCAGTGTGCGTCAACCAGGAAAGTACCTGCAAAAACAAGAATCGATTCAGTTTTCAACAAAACGGAGGAACATATTTTGGTGTGATTAAAAAGAACACCCCTAGAAAAATCAAGACAATAATTGTATTATTTGGTTGTTTTAACATATTTTGTTTAAAA